TTTGTAAACACATGAAATATGAACGCAGCGTTTCAATGATAGTTTTGAAACAATGGCGAAAGACAACTGTGATCAAAATTTTGGTTATGTTACCGTTTCAATGTGTTTCAAATTTTCCTGGAAATTTCCATAGCAAGTGAAATTGGGGCTTGTCGGAATGCATTAGTACTGCATAAATTTTTTTTTTTATAATGAGCAGACTGCCGTAAAAAAAAAACAAAAAAAAAAAAACTACTAAAAATAAAACGCATGACATTTCAGTGGGTTTATTAATTTCTTAAATCGAATGTAAAAATGCACCCCGGCACATCCAAAAATAAAAAAGCAAAATCCTATTCATAATCATAAATCAAAAGTTTAGGTTCTGGCATGTTGTCCAAATATGGTTTCTTGGCGTCAAAGGGAATGAGTGATGCTCTTATTTGTGATGGAGCGGCATTCATTTCCACAGGTCTTTCTTTTTATCTACATGGAATCAATCAATACCCCCAGACCTTTCCGTCCCTCCCCTGCTGGCACAGGCGACATGAATGAATAATGTGCGTGAACCTGGATGATTTCCCTGCCATAGAGAAATACGTATTATGAGCTAAGAGCATGAGGATTTGCTTTACTTGCGCGGAGCTACCATGTCGAAGTGGATTAAATACACGTGGTGGTCATAGTCGGAAAACGAATACCGGAGTGTCATTTATGGACAGGAGGCATAACATGAACCATAAATCAGATTTTTTTTTTTTTTTGTGAGTTCCTTATGTGGAGAGAAAAGTTTAGCTTTTTATTTGTTTTGTATGCCTTCACTGGTACTACAGTGGACCATCTGTTTCTGTTATGTTCATCGTGAAATTGTTTAAGAGCAGCGTGCGTGGTTCTCATCTGACTGCGTGTACATGTGCTCGTGTGCCGTGTTCACGTCCTTTTTACCACTTATTTGTTCATGGCTGTTCGAGTCCAAAGAGTCTGCCGCTAGTAGCCATGCACGCACACAATTCATTTATCATTGTTCAGATGATGACATCATGGTGTGTTCCTCGCCTCGGCCCCTCCCTCTTTTCTTCGGTTCTCTAGTCTTCTTCCTCTTTTCTGAGGTCATAGCTGGCTTCGGTTACACGGATGACTCTGTTTTTCCCATCAGTAAAGCTACATTTACATTCCCGTGGGTGTTTTTGGAGGGAGATTTTGCAAGTTGCATCGCCGAGGTGGCTTCTGCACATTTGCAGTCACGGACGCTAATCATCGGTGGTGCATAAAAACGAAACAAACAGCAGCTTTTATGTCAATAAGGGGCTGTGAATCGGCTCAGCGGGATTAAGCTTGGCAACAAGTTTTGACATCGTCCATTTGTATAGTTACAGGACACTGAAGGAACGGAAATATTTGATTTATTGCTGAGATTTTTCTTGCCTGGTTGTTCGTTACATGTAATTTCTTTTCCAGCGTGCCCAAGCCTGCTTTACATCTACATTATACGGCCAAACTGCATGACGGCATATTTATTTGAGTGCTGTCAGAGATAAAAACAGCTGAAGCATTTTTTCCATGCCATTGTCAAAAAAAAATAAAACACACACATTCCTTTTTAATTGGCTATTGCATAATCAACCATATGATGGAGGAGCTTTGCAAGTCACTAGAAAGGAAAGCAAGTAAAGGAATGATGAAATAACCAGACACAATGTTAGCTTCAGTATGTAGCTTAACAAAAGGATGTGTATTATAATTGATTAATTGAGTGTTAGGAATTGTGATAACCGTTTGGTATTGATCGTTGATAAGTTGAGCGCACGACTTGGCTGCAACCAGCAGAGGCTCTGTCAATGTACTAAAACAAAACAAAACAAACAACGACAACTAGTTGTGATATGAGAAAAGGTAACTTGTTTAGCCTCATCCATGTAATGGCACGAATCCTCCAGGCAGGAGTTCGGAACTTCCAAAAATAGAAGGAAGAAAAATATAGATATGTTTTTCCCATTGTCAGATAAGACCCATCCCTACAAGATCCAAATTTTGGAACTTCCAAAAATAGAAGGAAGAAAAATATAGATCGTTTTTTCCCATTGTCAGATAAGAAACATCCCTACAAGATCCAAATTTTCCCTAATATTGAACTGGGAGACCGGGTACACCCTGGACTGGTCGCCAGTCAATCACAGGGCACATAAACTGGAGACAAACAATGATTCACACTCACGGTCGTACGTACGGGCAGTTTAGAGTTTTCTTTAACATGTCGGGGGGAATCTGAAATACCCAGAGAAAACCCACGCGAGAAAAGCCCACACAAGAAGTCAGCAGCCATGCTAACCACTGGTCCACTGTGCTTCCGCATCAATGATCCATGTCGTTTAAATCCAACCTTAAATGCAAGAAGTGCTTGGATTTCATTTCGGGAAGATATGCAATTAGATAGGAAACAATCTTTTCAAATCTGATTTCGAGAGAAAAATTTGTCCCCGACATCACATTGTTGACTGTGGGTGTGGAATGCGCACACGGGATTTCAGACTCCCTCAGATGCATGCTGACCTTTGACCGTGACTGCTTGTCGGCAATGACCTTCTGGAATGTTTCGAATAGCGAGGATCAGTGGATTGGAGTCTTAATTCTGGCTCATACATTCGTGGCGTGTGTTGTTTTTTTATGGCTGATCTCTAGAAACATGAGATTAGTTAAGCTTGCTAGAGACTCTTGGACAACGCCGTCTGGAATTTGTGAGACGACGTTGAATGACCGAAGCCTGATCATGCAGTTGTAACTTTCAACGTGCTTTGAAAGTCAGCTGATTGACAGCTGGCAAGATGCTTGCTAGCGTCCCGCTGTTATCAAACCTCCAACACGTGCTTGCGAACGAACACCAACATGATCAATGTTGCACTTTAGCCCGCACCCTTTCCTTATTGACTCTTTCGGAGACCAAACACACACCAATATGTTTTTTTACACCGAGGATTCCATCAGTGTTTTGTCTGTTTTTAAAAGCTCATTTAACTGTTTGGCAGCGCCGCAAACTGCCATCTCCAAAACATCCAATAAGAATGAATCAGCATCTGCCACTCCATTCAAATGAACATCGCACCAAGTCGCAGAAGGCAAGATTTATGGCAGCGCTATTGTGTTAAAGTACATTAGAACTATCCTGCCCTATAAATCTGCGTAGTCTGTAAATATAAACAATTACCAGTGCACCAATAAGACAAAACAAAAAAATCGGTGAGAAGAGGCTTTAGTTTTCATGCTCTGTGCATGCTTTGTAGCGTAGCGTCCTTTGTAGAGCAAACAACATGGTGATTGTGCTTTCGGTGCGCACACACACACACACACACATGCAGTGATTGACTTTGGTCAGCCTTTGTCCATTGTGCTCCGACTGACCTTTTATATCAGGATGCTAATTAAGCGGTTGTAGGCTGTTATTGTGTGAATGCTGAGAGGCAAGCATTCACACAAGGACTCTTGTCTGTCAAAAAAATGTAACTTTATTTCCTATTATTA